CGATATATGATAGGATATGACGTGCCGGTCCACGTGGCCGATCCTTGTGGCCTATTGCTGAGCCGAAGCGATCTGAGTTGCGTCAATATCTGATAGGATATGACGTGCCGGTCCACGTGGCCGATAGGACCCTTCCGGTACAAATATGATATTGTTATGGTTTGTTGTGAGATATGTATAACGCCTTTTTCATGAGCGAAGGGGAAGTGGTGCTTATACTATTACCTTATTCAAGCGGGAGAAAAGTCTGCAATTTCTATAATCTAAGCTTATGTATTGAGACCTATAGGCCCTTGAGCCCTATGGCTACCCTATGGTAGATTGTATACATGAGCATATGATCTGGCACCTCAACATGGGTTGCCCTTGCTATTATGCTCATTCATGATTTATTTTGCCATGCTCCTAAGGTTAAGCTCTTGTTGTTGAATAAGCCCTAGGCCTATATATGTCTCAACCTCAACTACTAAGATATATGTATATAAGTCATAAATTTTAATTTCAATGCGATTGTAAAATAAATATCAGATAATTAGACTTGAACATTTAGGTCAATTATAAACTCAGTAAGGATTCAAAAACATTTTCTTTCTTGTTTTCTCACCTACAACAACTTTTATGATTTTATTTTTTCATCTATCAATCATATATCTAATTAAGCTCACAGTTTTTTTGTTGTTGTTGTATTTACTAACAAATATATATAATATCTGAAAACAAATTACAGCATATCTTTGCTACTATGCGTTCATGGTCGGCAATATTCTGATCAAACATTCACGTCAGTATGGTCCCGTCCCACATCACATGTTTTCTTGGATGTTTTCTTCTTCTTGCTCTCCCATCGTTTCTTCTTTTCATTTTCACACTTCAATTCCCACATGATAACTTCAGAAGATATATTGATTTTGGATGGTGAAAATGTACTTGGATCTCAGGATGCACGTGGAATTGTCTATTGGTTTGAACGCCTTTTGGTATTTAGTGGCTACATCTTTATAGAATAAGATCATCTTGTTAGATTTTTTTTTTCCTTGAGAGGGTCGTTATGAAAGGAACAAATCATTATTTTTTTTTCCCTTTTGATGTCCGCTGGTTGATTAATATTATTATGCCTCTCTTCCACACAATATATGGTAATCCAGTAATTACAGTCTACCCAACTAGGATTTTTGTACTTTGTAGTATACATATTCATATATATCATTTAATATGCGCCCGCACGATGAGAATAAGAGAGAAAGGAGGAAGAGATTTGCAATCTTATCATTCATCGATTGAATTTGCGAAAACGTACTGGCAGATGCCACCTGTCTTTTATAGGAAATTGTAAGAAATAAATTAAACAATATTAAAAACTATGCTTGATAACTAAGTAAAATCAATGCTGCTGCTACAATTTTTTCATGCAGTGTGACTGCTGCTTAGTTGGACTTTTTATTCTTATAGGGTATTTTTCCAAATATTTTACTCAAATAGACTGTTTTTAAATTATTTACATATTTAAGATTTTTGATATAATGTCGAAAAGGGACATAGTGGTATGGAACAATTTTTTTAGCCATAAAACAAAAGTCGTGACAATTATAGTAATGACTTGATCGAAATCATTAATGACTATAGACACAAGACACTTGAAAAAAAAAAAAAAAAAGTCAATATAGTTCATAGCAATTTATGAATTATAATATCACATTCCAAATGCATGTACTCTCCTTTGGAACGTGTCATGTATTCAAATTTCTTTTAAAAAAATAAGGTCTTTATGGCCATAGCAAATTAAAATTCGTTATGGTTATAATGTAATACACTATGACTATGCATATTTCCGGTCGAAACGTGTTATATGTTATAATTAAAAAAAAGGTAAAAATATATTTTTCGTTCCTTATATTATTTATTAGTGTCAATTTAGTCCTATTTTAATTAATTTAATCAATTTAGTCTCGCATCTTTAAAATGTATCTCAATATTTGACATTCTATTTTCTCTGTTTAAATACTTAACAGATTTGACACGTGCCATGACACGCGACATGATGACATGACACGTAGCATGGTGACATGACACGTGTCATGTCATCATGCCACGTGTCGTGCCATGTGTCATGATGTCATGCCACGTGGTATGATACATGTCATATCCGTTAAGTATTTAAACAGAAGAAACGGATGGTCAAACATTGAAATACATTCTAAAGATGTGGGACTAAATTGATTCAATTAATTAAAGTGAGACTAAATTGACACTAATAAATAATATAAGAGACGAAAAATATATTTTTGCCTTAAAAAAAATGTATCAAAACAAAATTAATTTTATTTTAATTTTTAAAGGGGATGTTATCAACATAAAAAAAATAATTTAAGATTACAAATTATTCAATCCTAAGCAGATTTTATTTTTATAAAAAAAATTAAAAAATATATATAAATACATAACAAATTTTCTTAAAAAATAACCTAATTCATATTATTTATTTAAAAATTATGAAAAGACTTTTTATATTTAAAAAGATAACATATTTCTTTTAAAAAAAATAAAGAATATAAATAAATTACTAAATAACAATTTTAAAAATTAATCTGATAAATATTAATTTTTTTTAAATAAATCAAAATATATTTTTTAACAATACCAACAAATTATTATCAAAAACATAAAAAAATTTAAAACAAATTATAAATCTTATTTTATAAGAAAAACATTAACAGGTTTTATTTAAAAAAAATTAAAGAAAAGCCATAAATAAATAACTAAATGGCAATTTTAATAATTAATATGATAAATAATATTTTTTTAAAAATAAATGATAAGACTTTTTTATGTGAACGTGCGTGTCCTCAATTAAAACATGCCACATGTTAAATTTTTTTTTATAAAAAAAGTGTAGTCGTGGGTCATAGAAACCCAAAATAATAGAAAAAATATATATTTTATACACACATGAAGTCATTTAATAAATCACTACAGTCAATAGCAATTTGTAAAGTTGCTATCGATGCAAAGATTTCAAGATAGTTAAAATGACTCCATCAAATTTAAAATTAAAAAGAAAAACTGCATGTGTCACTTGGGTTACTATGACCCATAATGACACTTACGAATAATCCTAAATGTATAAATAATTTCATTTAAATAATTAATTTGAAAAATTACCTTACAGTCAAAAAGTCACTTAGTCGGTAGTGTATATCAACGTTTTCTTATTTATTGAAATCACCTTGGTGATGTGTAACTGAGTTTAATTAAATTTAAAACTCTATATATATTTCCAAAATTTTACTATCACTAGACCAACCTTAATAATGTATAGTTAAAATTAGAGTAATTAAATATTTTTAGTTCAATAAAAAATACATTTAATCAGTTTGATTTTATTATATATATATATATATATATATATATATATATATATGTGTGTGTGTGTGTGTATGTATGTATAAAAAAATTTACTTACTTCAAGAATAACACGAGTAAATTTACTTAAATAGTTAAACTTCATTTAATAACTTATATTTTATATCAAATTTTTACGATTTAATCGTTGAATTAAATGTTTTTAATGTATAAGTTAAGTCTACCATTTGTTTTTATTTTTTAATTTCACATCAAATAGTTTTTAATTTTTTAAAATTTGTAGACTTGATATATACATTAAAAACTTTTAATTTAATGATTGTATCATCAAAATTTGATATAGAACATGAGCTATTAAGTGAAGTAAGGTTAGATAGACTTCTTCTTAAAGTAAATGGATCTATCATATTATATATATATATATATATATATATATATATATATATATAAAATTAAAATCAATAAAAATAATCTTAATTGTCCATGTATATTAAAAATGTGAGGTTAAAGAGGTTAATTTTCATTCATATAATTATAATTATATATGGACAATTAAGATTGTTGTAATTAATTTTAATTTCAACTATTTATTTAAATTATATGGTTAATATATATATATAAGGGGAGTTACAATAATACCGGTGTAACTTTTACAAAGTGTTACATTGCTCAATAAATTTATATTAAATGCGAATTTTGTAAATCCAACCGTTAAATTGAAAGTTCATATATCTTACTTAGATTATATATACAAAATTTTATATTAATCCAAAATGATTTGATACTTCATTTTTATAAAACAAAATTGACGTAATATATTTATTTCAAAATACACTAAAGTATGAACACTTTGATTACCTTCAAGTTGTTGTTCAATTTTAACAAAATTTGATATACACGTATAAAGTGATACGAACTTTCAATCTAACGGTTGAATTTACAAAATTCACATTTAATATAAAGTTATTGAGTGATGTAACGTATATCAAAATTTATATGATTCAAACTTTTTTAGATGTGTTATCTAAAAATGGACATTTACACATATTTTAAATATTATATTATACTTAAAATAAAATAATATCATATAATAATAAATAATTTTTTAAACATGTGAAATTTAATATACATAATCTTGAATATAATATTACATAATTCAATGATTGAATTACTTAAATTTGCATTATACAAAAAGTTATTAAAAGTATAAAATTTGATGTAACTTGTTAGACTTACACTTAATGTCAACGGATCCTAATTCACATACACACATATGTGTGTGTGTGAGTGAGAGAGAGAAATATATTTAAATTGTGGAGTCCTTATTTATAATCACTAAAAAATATTGTATAAAATTAGTTTAAATAAACTTCTCTTAAAGCACGTTGTAGAAATAAAAATAATAAACTTATTTAAGAACTAATTAGTTATGCATAAGGTAAAAACAAATTTTTAGAAAAAATAATATGAAGAAATTTCTAATAATTAATTATATATAAACTAATTTTAATAATAAACTTATTTAAGAACTAATTAGTTATGTATAAGTTAAAAATATTTTTTTAAAAAAATCAAAGAAATTTCTAATAATTAACTTATATATAAACTAATTTTAGTTAATAAAAAGATTATGTCATAACATGAAAAAGTTATGGGCTTTACCTATTCCACATAACATGAAAATCTTTCTTTGGAGACTTCTTAGAGACTGTCTTCCTTCACGCCAACGCCTTCAGCAAAAGGGAGTCCCTTGTACCTCCCTTTGTCCCCACTGTGAAGCTGCACAAGAAAATAACTGGCACATTTTCTTTGGTTGTCAAGAAGCACAAACCGTATGGCAAGCAACTGGCATATGGCAACATATTAAATCCTTAGTAGATGTAGGTGAAGGAATTGTCGAGGTCATCTTTTCCTTACTTGGCAGCATATCTCAAAGCCATATTGTTGAAGTCGTGGTCACGCTTAGCTGTATCTGGAGGCGTCGGAATGCTAAGGTGTGGGATCAGGGCGCCCCACCTTCAGGAGTAGCCACCTCACAAGCAAAGCAATATTTTCGAGATTGGCAAGCGGCACAAGCAAGATCGTCGACACAAAGGACCCCTCCCGTACACGATCTACAATGGAAAAAGCCCCATGCAGGGACGTTTACGTGCAATATCGACGCTGCTCTCTTCCAGGACTCATCTTACTTTGGGTATAGCATGTGCATTCGAAATGATCATGGACAGTTTCTCACAGCCAAAACTGGTTGGGCTCATGGCCTGCCACCTGTTCATGAGGCTGAAGCTACAGCTCTACTTACAGCCATCCAATGGATAGTAACTTTGAGCCTCACCCACGTTACCATTGAGTCGGATTGTAAATCTGTCCTTGATGCTCTATCTGGGACTCAATCACATCACTCAGAATATGGGTCTCTTCTTAATAAGTGTAGAGGATTGCTACACAATCATCCGAACTTATCACTAAAGTTCATTCCGAGGCAAGCCAATCGGGTCGCTCACTGTTTAGCTAGGGTGTCACGATGTTATGCTAGCTCTCACATCTTTGAATTTATTCCCTCATGTATTGCTCCAATTATTTTGAATGAAATGACATAATCTTATTTCCCTAAAAAAAAAAAGATTATGTCATTGTTATTTTTTCTCTATAAAATGTTTATGGAAAAACTTATATCCACATACTCTTAATCATATAAAACACAATAAAAATTTAAGGCTACTTAAAGTGACGTGAATACTTAAAATGTCACAATATACACTTCCCTAAAAAAGTGACTTCTTTGCGTCGCAAATGTTCTAAATTACAAAATCATAAATGTTTTAAAATAAACTTTCGATTTCTTTTTAATATGAAAACAATACGGACTAATTTAACCTAAAAAATGACATTTAACCAACTAATTTCATTAAGAATTAATAATGAAAGAATATATTCTAAATAAGAAATAATTTTTTGTTGGATAAAAATTACATGTAAATATAGTTTAACTTTTTATTAGGTTCACTTTTTTTCCCTTTGTGTTGAATGGAGGTCTCCATAAAAGCAGTGTGAAATTTGTCGATATTTGGAGACGTGTGTGCAACCCAACCCTTTCAAATACATGCCAAGTGCACGGATTAATAAGACAATTATCTTTGTAAACAATCATTAGGACTCTTAAATTGTGGAATTCAAAGGAAATAAACAATCCTTTGAAAACAGAGACACCAGTCAATGTCATGCAGCCATGCACCATATATATGTCAGTTTGCATGTCAATTTTTACTTTAATTCATTGTGCACAACTCCAACTTGTCTCCAAAGTCTTTTCTATAGTTTGCTCATCAACTTTGCCACATTTTATCGCCACTCTGTCAAGTGGGTGTTTTGGTTGGCATTTAGTTCCTAACCATAACATGCCTCAGATTCACTAAATTCATATAAAATTACAAATAAATTATTAAAATATAATTGTTTTGAAATATTTTATCCAAGTAAATATAACTCTTTTTGTTATGTCCCTTGGAAATCGTTATGATACGTGACAATTTTTATTGTCATGTGGTATGTTTTATTTTATAAAAGTGATATGAGAATCACAATAATGGAATGTCAGTGTTTTAAACGTCACATGTTAAAAAGAAAAAAAAAGTAAGGTAAGTAAAAATCGCTAGTTCAAGTTATGTAAGTAAAAACGGTTTTATTTTAGTAAAATATTTTAAAATTATTTTATTTTGATAATTTGTTTGTAATTTATTTTCTCATTAGATGCTATTAAGCTTTTACTATGAGTTTAATTTTAAGAGAATTTAAAAATAGTAATGTGCTTAATTGTCATATATCAAAAATAGATCCGGATAAATTAATTAAAAATGAAAATATTTTATGATATAAATAAATTATAATCTGAGACTTACAAGGTCACACTCAAAATATATTTAATAAAAGTTACAAAAAAATATTTTTCTCAAAATTAAATCCATTCATTTGTAGAGCATTTTTCCAAAAACTTATCCGAACAAGCTTAAACAAACTTAAATACATATGTACTGTCCTTAAAATAAAAGTTGACACAACCGAGCTAAATAATTAACAATCTTAATATTATAAGTAACTATGTTTATCAATTTTTATATTTAATAATTAATAAATAATCACTAGTCCTTAAAAAAGAGGAATGACAACTATATGTCCATGATTTGATCTTAACTAATAAATCACTCATTCGAATCACAATTATCAGTTAAGGTGATTATGGTAATTAATCACTTTATTCTTTTTAATTAATTATCTTCTTATTAAAAAATATATATATTTTAGATATGATGAAACCTTAGTAGTTATACACATGTACAAAAAAGGTATCAAGTATGTTTTTAACTTAATTCATGATTATCTCCATGATACTACTTCTGACAGATGTAAATTCATTTGTGCAGGTATCCCACCAGCATGATTTAGAAAAGGAGACAAGTACGCAGATGTAGAGACCTTGTTTAGGTTCTAGCTAGTAAAACAATTTCTCAAAGTTTACCCAAACAAACTTAAATACTATAAAAAAAAATATCAAGAATATAAATTTTCGTTGGCTTTACTACTTATTTAATGTGTTTTATTCATAATTTTGTAATTTTTAATAAATTTTAAACATCGATAGAAAATATTTTAGAAAAAACCTATGTTACATTCTACTTCTATTTTAATTACAAGCAAAATTAACTAACTTGTGCGTTAATTAAAAAATTAATTAATATTATTTAATTTTATTAGTCTTAATTAAAAGTATTTTTATTATTATATTACTCTTCTTTAAAACTAATATTAAAAATAAATTAATCTCAATTAAATAAAAAATATATTTTAGAGATGGTAATATTAAAGTTATTTTTTATTAAGATTTGTTTATATTTAAATTCATTATATATATATATATATTATTTATTTATTTATTTATTTTTCTTGGGCTGAACCTAAGTGAATAATACATGAAAATCTTGTACTGAGACCCTCCATATCTTGTGATCTGTTACCGTTTAATGATTTAACTTGTCTCATCCTCCAAAAGTTGTACCCGCGACACAATTCTGCATATTAAAAGAGAGAGGCCCTTCTTACTTGATACAGTACTTTATATCCCTCTAGTTACGTACTCAATTCCACTCATGCCTTATTTGACTCAACTAATCCTTTACATAATTAACAAACTTCATTTCAAGTCAAGTCTGACTAACAATATAGGGTGTGTTTCATTTTTTATTTCATTTTTTTTTACATTTGAGTTGAATTTTCTTTTTACCTTTTTTAAATTGAAATATATTTTTTTATTAAATATGATTTTAAATTAATATCCAAACATATATATAAATTTTAGATACTTTATGATCATTGGTTAGTCTGGGATATGTCATGATTATAATTAGTCATATAAAACTCTATTTCAGAATAAATTATTAAATTAGTTCGGTACTATTAACTATCTATAATTTCAGTCAACTTTTATATAAAATGTAATAATATTAAGTAATTATCTTATGTGAAAATTTATATGAAATTTTGTCTTGAAATCTAGATTATGAGTTTAACTTAATTCTAAAAAGTTAGTTTGTAAGTTGAAAGCTATTATTTAGTTATTAATTATCTGTTTATCTTATTTATAGTTGATGTGAAATTTAAATTTTTTTAATATATTTTTTCACATTCAGTATTATTAAGCTTCATACATAAATAAATAATAAATAATTTATTTTAATAATATAAGATAGACGAAACTTACGATTTTTTCTATTTTATGTGTCACAAATTCACTAATAATTTATTCTATTAATTAAGCTGGCCAAATTGCAAAAGAAATGATGATAACATTGTTATACTATGTTTGCGTCCAGTATGCTCTCCTGCTGAGTCAGCCTGTTAATTAACATTTGTTTTTATTGCAACATTTTTTTTCCTTTCAATTTAGGCAATGATAGTATCGATTCACGAAGCGCTAAATAATTAACGATTCTGTTTCTCATCAATGTATGAGATTGGTAAAGTTTCTCTTTAAAAGCCATGACAATAATTAACGAACTATTCGACAAGATCCAACATTATCAAACCAGAAATCTAAGTCGCTAATAATGAGTCAAGATCATCCACCAAATATTGAGTCATGGCAAATAAATCAATTATTGAGAAACAAGAAATAATAAGGCAAGTTGAAGTTGTCTAATTTCATCATAATTAAGTTTACAATAATGTTACCCACAATTCATTGAATGATTTTTCTAAACTAGCTAATAGCAATTCCATGCATCACTCTATTGGTTTTTATTAATCTTTCTTATAAGAAGGTAAATAAAGTATGAGAAAAAAATACTATGCACTAATAGTATACAGATTGTTTGGTCTTTCTCATTTCTTAATACATTTATCACTTTTTTTATCTTTTTTTTTTTAAAAAAAAAATCTTCTTCCAACCATCGAATTAATTCACCTCGAAATATATAGAATGAATTGAGTATGATCCTATTTTAGAAACACTATTAAAACATTGTATTTGTTTCTATCATATTTCCATATGAAATAGCATGGAAGTGTGTATAAAGAAGAAAAGAGTGGGGAAGAATTGATGGAAGGAGACACTGAGCATAATATGATAAAGGCGTAGCGTGTGGTGTTTGTACCTAAAACTTTAGAGACAAAAATTCCTGCACTAACATGGCCTCATCACTCGTGCGAAAGGCCCCTCCCTATGTGAGGACATGCATGCTTCTGAAAAGACATAAATACCCTTCATTCTCAAAACAATATTTGTATTTTGTGTATGGTATATAGTTATTGGTAGGGAGCATCTCCACCAAACCCCGTAAAATGCGCTCATCTCTCAATACGTGATCCATCTTCGTCGTTTTCGCTTCTCACAAGTCTCTTTCTCATCCCCACCACCAATATATTGTCTTTTCATTTTTTACATTTATAAACTCTTTTTTCTTATTATCTATATGACAACGCAATTGTCATATATAATAACTTCACTTCACATAGTTACTTTTTTACTTTTAATGTTCATATAACTACATTATCCATCCAGCTTTATGTAGTTTGTTTTTCAATAGCAAACTTTTAATGCTGTGACCTAAAATATAGGATAAGGATTCGTGTCGACATATGCTTACCTGGCTCAGTTGGCAAAAGCAATCAAATGTCTCGCAAATCACTCTATAGCGGACACTTTGCTGACAATGTGGAAGGAAACCCAGATTTCTCAATTCTCGTAATGTCCAAATGCTACCTATTTATCGGGTAATGGTTTGGTTAGAACAAGGCAATTATAACTAACGTAGTTTGAGTTTACACTTGAAAAGTTGGCATGGCTTTTAGATTCTCTATGGAGACTTACATATTATATACGCATTCATATGATGCTCATAACTTTTCAATGATAAGTCTGCATCATTGGAGATAAAAAAACACACAAGGATATATAAGCCAGTAATGTAATTTTTCCAATATAAATATACTATATAATTAAGTAGAAAGAAAAAATAATATCTTTTTGAGTGTCTGGTAAAAAAGGGTTATACCTATTTATAAAAAAATTATATTATAATATATATAGGATTAGGAATTAATTGGAATCGATCTCAAGACAAGCCTAGAGAATACAGTAGTAAGCTGATACTTTGAGATTTACCGTTTAAAAGAATTCACGAGTTTGAGTGCTAATTGGCTCGTACCTTCAAAACAAGCAATTAACGGAAGGATTATGAGGGTTATAAGGAATTAACGACGTCACAGGAAGGGTTTAGTCATGATACATTCCAAGATATGGTGTCATCCAGATTCATTCTTCATTGGTTGCGGGGTTCTTTTGGAAATAATTTGAAGATAAAAAATAGTATAAATTACACTTTCATTCTTTCTATAATATTTAATTTGTGGTTTTAATTTTTTAGATTTTAATTTCACAATTAAATCTCTTAATTTCATAAATTTTGCAATTTTAACTCAATTGTTAGATTTTTTTATTAATCATTAAAATTATAATATTGATAAATCACTAAAATCGATTTCATAGTAAAAATTAGAGAGTAGTATGTACAAATATAAAGTCCTAAATTTGAACTTTGTTATTATCTTTATAATTTTTCACTAATAAAAAATTATAATCTTTATTTATTTACTTTTATTTCCCTTAACAAGTATCCTTACTACATTCCATATTTGGTCTATTTTTTCAAGAAAAAAGGGTGGAAAATAGGAGACAAAATTGGACAACTGTGAACACCATTACTTTGGCATGATTTCCGCGAAATACTTTATTTCGTATTTTTAGTTTACTAATTAACCAATAAAATTGAAACACTTGGATTCTTCCCTTGCTCCTATCAAAGTCCATACCATTTGGCAATGCTCCTTTTTGAGTTAACTTTTTGTGGTTCTTCCAATCATTGTTCACGCATGGTTCACGAAAGTATAACAATCCCAACAATGCACTAAGGTTTGGTCAAGACTCAAGACACGAGTGGTTTCGTCAAAGTTGCGTGAGTTGTCCGTTACGGATCATGATTCATGAGTAGAACAGAAAAGTTGATAGCATCATGAATTGCATCACCTTGCATTCCTCTAATCATTCATCAACTATTGTACTATATATTGTTTTCTCTCTATGAACTATATATAAAGAAATTGCAACTTTTTACTACAACACTTCTGTTACATTATTTTTATGTTACTTGAGTAAGAAAATGAGACATATATTTCTCAATATACTTTCTTTCTCCTTTTCTTTTCCCTTTAAAGAAGTACGTCAAAAAATGTAACAAATAGTTTATATATATATATATATA